CTATGTGTGTGTGTGTGTGTGTGGGGCTGGGTGTGGCTGGGTGTGTGGCTGGGTGTGTGGCTGGGTTTGTGGCTGGGTGTGTGGCTGGGTGTGTGGCTGGGTGTGTGGCTGGGTGTGTGGCTGGGGGTGTGGCTGGGTGTGGGTGGGTGTGGGTGGGTGTGGGTGGGTGGGTGGGTGGGGTGTGTGTGTGTGTGTGTTCGTTCATGAAGAACACCAACCGCATGCAGACAGAGAGACACAGAGCTTGCCTCGCCCTTCTGTTCAGAAATACCCTGAGAATAACAGCATATCTTGCATCATTCAGGGTTCAGGTTCAGGATTTTGGGTTTTGGTGAAGGGTGTTGAACCACACCTCACCATGCATGAGAATGAAAGGCAAGTCGGGGCCTTCCTCGACTTGCACGTGCTGCTCTGGAACATGGCCCCGATGGCATAATGCAACCATGGTACCCCAATTGATACCCTTCTTTGTGGCATTCATCCGTTGGATGTGGCGATAGTCCAGGTCCAGATTGTGACACGACTCCACAGTAGCACCTTTCGACCGACTGCGCAGCAAGACAAAACAGCGAGAAAGTCGCGCTTTGCAGCTATCATTCCAGAAGCCCGTCTCCGTCTCGAACGAAGCGGATTGGCATCTGATCCGAGCTTGCTCTGGCAACAGGCATTCAACATCTGTTGAGCAGCTGTGCTGCAGTGCGGGAAAGGAGTGAAGAGATGTCGGCCAGCAAGCATTGACTGGGCAGAGAATGCAACGGGCGCAGCAAACGGAGTATCGGCTGCACAACTCACAGCTCAAGCATCACGACCACTCGCCATCTGACGTCCTACACACCCAAGCACGAGCCATAGAACACCTAGCAACACCTCCTTCCTCAAAAGCAATTCTATTCTGATCCTGACAGTCGCGAAAATTGAAACTGAAAAAGGACTCCGGTGCGAACGTGCCGCCCAGCTCCGTTCCAAGAACGTCCAGCTCCCATGCCACACCCTTTCGCAGGGAGCTTGTGAATCAAAAAGCAACAATGCAAGTGCCACTGACAGGATCCCCGATAGAAATCTTCAACTCTCCGCAGGGAGTGACCTCCATGCGACCTGCGCAGCGGAAGTAGCCGCGGAACCTCAGTTGAAGATACCGGCTGTCGATTTGCGAGCATTGGCCATTGGATTCGACATCGGAACGTCGGCAACCCTCGAGCACACCAAGCGAGTCCGGAGCAGGCCCAAAGGCCGGAAAACTCAGCAGTTTCGCCATTTTTTGAAAGATCGGTACAGCTTGGGGGCCATCGTTGATTGCAGCCGCGAACCGGGAGCTCCTGGAGGGCCACTCTGCTCGAGCGTCGAACACCCCTCATCCCTTCATGAACATAAGTGCAAAGACGGCGAGAGCACAAAGTCCAGGCCAACAAGGAAGTCTGAGAGTAGCGCATGCATCGTTTCTATCAGCCTACGTGCACAGATATGATAATCATAGTTCCGGCCCCGCCCCACGCATAAAGCCGAGCTCCGCCATGTACTTTGCCGCATTGCCAGCCGACCGGACCACGCGTGTGGCATCCACTGCACACTCCATGCCGACAAGCTTCTGGTCCTGGAATCAGAAAAGTCCGGAACAGGCACGCTGGCCGCTAGCAGCTTCTAAGCTCGAAGCCGCCAGGCGACACAAAATTTGTGACTATTACTATTAGTATTACTGTTGCTATTTCTGTGTACTATTGTTATTGAGTTTTTGTTACACTATGATTATGTCTGTTTTTAAACTGCATCTCCTAACCCGCAAAGGCCTGACAAACCTTGAGGTCGGCTTCAATGGATGCTGCAATGGTGCCAGCATCCTGGCGACGAGTCCACAGCCACAACGTGTCCACGAGACATGGACTGGTAGAAGGGGGAAGAAGAATCAGAATTATGGCATATACCAAAAACATGTCATGTAGATTTAGGGATGTTTGGGGTCAAGGGTTGCTCTACACTCCGCCCCCATCCTTGATGATCGTCAGGATCGTTCGGGCGCAGAATCCTGCCCTCCTGCCGGCTTGTGGGCCCCACTTGCCCGGTAGTCCACCCGGCAGGGCGCGGTCCTGACTCTCGGGCTTCCGGAGCTTAGGGCAACCCTTGAAATAGGATATGAACCAGGACCAAACATGATCAACCATAGATCATCTGTAACTAGCACTCTATCTATCTATCTATCTATCTATCTATCTATCTATATATATACATACATACAGATACATATACATATACCATTATGATACAAGTTCCAGTCTCTATTTCCAGCGGTAAGAAAGAGACCGTACGCTTCCCAGGTCTGGGCGACATGGTTCAGCAGCCCTTGTAGGAACCCTTCAAGGAGCCCGTAAAGGAACCCTATTAAAGGAGCCCTCAAAGGAACCCTTAAAGGAGCCCTTAAAGGAACCCTTCAAGGAGCCCTGAAAGGAACCCTTAAAGGAGCCCTTAAAGGAACCAATTATCGGAACCCTCAACGGGAAAGCTGCGGACGGGGAAAGGAGAGTCCTGGTCAGGAAAGAGATTGAGCTGCAGCTCTCGCATAGCTGGATGCTTGAGCCTTGGCATATGATGGTAGTGGTCATAATAGTGTGGTAATAACATAAATAGTAGTAATAGTAATAGTAATAGTAATGATTGCAGTAAAAAAATAATGTAGGTGGTAGTAGACATGAAAAAAACAACAACATGTGTTAATAAGAAACCTTCGACAGCAGCCTTCCAAAGGTGCTTCCAACTTGCGGAACTTGTCTGCATGCCAGTGTCCCTCAATTTCAATTGAGGAGCTTTCCGGTGGGGTGTCCGTGGTTCACGATGCCCTCCATCAAGCCATGTCCTGCAATACGGAAGCCTACACTGCTTGCTGATTCCGCGGCGAGGCCCTTGAAGACACTGAATCCGGAAGCGTAAGCCTGAAACCAAAAGCCAGAACCCCAACACCCGAACCCCTAAAGCCTAAACGCTCAAACCCAAAGCCAAAGTTGTCCTCTATGACCCTAAACTGGGTTCGTTCGAGTTACCATAATCGGGATCTTGAGTAAATGATACTGAATTCCTCTTCTGGCAACTTGAACTCTCTTCCTGGATTCCTCAACCCTAAAACCTAATGCCCTAAACCCTAAACCCCGCGACACAAAACCCTTTAAACCCTAAACCCGAAACCCCTTAAACCCTAAACCCCTCAACCCTAAACTCTAGACCCTTTAAAACCCTTTAAACCCTAAACCCTAAACCCCTAAACCCCATAAACCCTAAACCCCTTCAACCTTCAACCCTGAACCCTCAACCCCTACACCCTAAAGTCCAAAAAAGAGAGCCCAAAGTCGCAAACTTGCTCCTGAGATGAGGAGAGGTCTGGAGCTCACCTGGTCAAGGTAGCCTCGGACTGCCAGGAGAGACTCCGAAGTCCCTTTAATTGGGGTTTGGGGCTTAGGGTTTAGGGCTTAGGGTTTAGGGCTTAGGGTTTAGGGCTTAGGGCCTTAGGGTTTAGGGCCTTAGGGCCTAGGGCTTATTATGATCTGAGGGTTTAGGGTTTAGGGCTGGCTTAAGGTTTAATATGATCTGATAATGGTATTACTGTACGATAGTCTGTTGTATTATGCTATACTTGTGTTGTATTATACTTATAGTACGTAAGTGTAGGGGGCCTGATGGTGTTGTTCTTGCTGATCCTCTGGTTTCGGGGTGGAGGGGTGGGTTTATAAAATTCCTTGATTCAGAAACCCTCCGTAGATGATAGGATTGGGGTTCAGGGTTTAGGGGTTGAGGGAGATTGCGGTTGCAATTGATGGTAGGCGATTGAGGAACAAGGGAGCTTCTGGGTGATCTTGGGAGGTGTTTTGCAGGGACTCCAAATTCGATCCGGGGGTTCTTAGAAAGCCCGTACAAGGTCGGGTCCTGGTCCAGCCATTGTCTTACCTTCTGGAATCTCGTGTCCATCTATCCTTCCATGCATCCATCCGTCCATCTTTGCATACAAACATATGTACATACATGCATGCAGATATACCTGAATAAAGGCATGCATGCATGCATGCATGCATACACATCCATCCATCCGTCCATCCATTCATCCACGCATGCATGCATGCATGCATGCATGCATGCATGCATGCATGCATGCATGCATACATACATACATACATAGAAAGATATGTTAGACAGGTAGATAGATATCCAAACCCGATGCTGTTGACAAGAATACTGATAATGAAGGTAGCAAGTAGTACTATTGGCCATCAACATGTTCCTTTTATTCTGATCACCAAACAACTGCCGTTGTTGACTCTGTGTGGCAGTATGCGTTGGGTTGATCACAGCGGTAGGCACAGGACCCCGCCCTAGAATTTCGTCTCACGTGAGACTATGCTGATAGTAAGTCACTTCGGAAAAGCATGTCATCAGCGGTCACCCTGAAGTGATCTTCATTATGCTTGGCTTCCACCAAACACCACGCCTCCGTGCAGCAGGAAGTGCGTCTTTGGGTGCAGCTGCAAATGGCGCTCTGGAATGCTTGCCGGCCTGGGGCCGAGGAATGACATGCTCTGGATAGGAGCTTGTGAGGTGTACCCTCGACGACAAGCTCTCTTAGGGGCATCCTTCAGCTTTGAGCCTCAAGCCCTGCAGTCCCCGAGCACCAACTTCGCGGTCGGAGTTGTCTGGGTCTGCTCCGGACATGTCCGTGTGGCAACTTTGGTCTCCGAAATAGCACTGGAGGAGTGCTCGGTGTCCCGAATTTTCCTGACATCTGAATGTCGTCCTAGCACAGCCGTTCCCGAGTCCCACAAAACACAGCCCTCCAGACCCACACCGGAAAAGCTCCACAGCTTGCTTCGCGAAACCATGAAGCCAAGCTTCCTTTCGTAAAGCGCCGCGCCGGTGAGTCGCATGTTGGATACCAGGGAAGCGAGACTGGAGTCTTCTTCGTTTGTTGCTGCACCTGCAAACGAATTGCACAGATCGAAAGTGTGTCAAACTAACGTTTGCCAATGGCACTGAATCTTGTGCATGGCTCCGCTGGTAGGAGTGTCCTCTGAATGGACCGGGGAAACTGATGAGCTATCAGTGCATTTCAGCTACTTACCCCCGCCACCTTCTAGCATCCTGCCACCATGAGCATCACATGTAACTTTCCCTTTGTAGCATTCGAACAGTACACCACTACACCACCCTCTACATGCTACGAGTAAATGCAACATGCAGCTCCGTCTGCAGCAATTGCTTCATAAATCCTCGCTACGACCTGCAGCCACCACTACCGCGGCCATCGCGACTAATTGCCATGACATGGGAACGTACGATTAAGCCAATGTTGTATTTCCAAGAATCAGGACGAGCGGCGACCAATCTTCACCGTGGTCTGTGGCTCTAAACTTTCCAACTCGGCAGGAGCGGGCATGTTGCAGACTTTGGTGCCATTCCTGTGGAGCGCACGGCAGGCTGTTGCAAACATGCAGAAACCATGAACTGACTGCTGCAACGAAGCCAAGTTTCAAGAAAAAGTCGAGCGAGGACGCCCGACGCTGGCACGCAACATGCACCCACTGCCTCAGCGGCACCTCGCATCGGAACTTATCAAAATCTCTCGCCGATATGTGGGAAATCGAAAGTTTATCTGTGGCCTGTAAACTTTGTGACCCCAGCAGCGTAGAGTCTGCGCATACATCTTGATGGGATCGCTCTCCAGCGGGGTATTTTGAAATCTCTGCAAGAGCAAGACTTCGCACATGCAGCGAGGGTTTAGATACACAAATCACCAGGTCGACGATGTCGACACAGACATGAGCTTTACCACGCTGTGGCGTAGTGATCTCGCAACTATTCGTCTCATCAACCAATCGCCCAGACACAAACTTCGAACAGGAGCGCAGAACCGGCGCACCTGGCGTGCCCATGTTGCGACACTTGGAGACTTTGGACATGTGCAGAGAAACAAGGCAATAAGATGGAACAGGGTAGATGATTAAAAAACCCACGACAACGACTAGTACATGGACAGGGTCTGGGACACCGGTTCAAACGAACAACGCCGATTTGGCGATAGCAGGAGCACCTAAGCACACTCGAGCCAATAGACCGGCAGACCCTAAACTCTAAACTCCACAACCTAAGCCCTAAATCTGGAACCCTAAAAACCCCAAACCCTAAAACCCTAAAACCCCAAACCCTAAATCCTCAAACGCCGTGGACCCTACACACCATCTCATGCGAACCAGGCTTCCTCCTCGTGGAAGGATCATCAAGGCCAAGGACCCGTTGTTAGAGAGGATGACCTCAGGTTCTTGGGTTTAGGGTTTAGGGTTTAGGGTTTGGGTTTAGGGCTTAGGGTTTAGGGTTTAGGGTTAGGGTTTAGGGTTTAGGATATACTGTACCATTTTTTTACTGTTGCTCATACTCACCTGTGTTTTGGTTTCGTGTTGTATCATACTATACAAGTCAGTATACTGCGTTATCTGATGACCTCAAGTCCAAAGTGGAACAAGTGACGCCGGCTGAAGCTGCCGAAAGGACTTGGTAAAATATGTAAAAAGGACGCTACACGAGGCTGCTTCCTGGCCCCCTTCTATGCAGGTGACCAGCTAACCTACCATGACCTGAACGCTGCGACTGTACCTGGGGGTTGCTCCAATTCAGCGCTCTGTCCGCGAAATTGTATGTCGTATGCTTGCGACGTCTTACGATTCCGCGCTGAGTCCAGCAGTTGCAGCAAGACAAGCTTGCACCGCAGGCTGCCGCGTTCGATCCAAGAGACCGCGACTCCAGATTTGGTCGAATTTCCAAGGCGTTCGCGGGTGTCCTTGGCAGCTCCGTCATAAGTCAATCTGATCAGCAGAAAACTGGTCGTGCACTCCAGAACATGCTTGGAATCGCCACGCCACCCAGATCACGCCCCCGTGGGCTAAGAGGTAATGCCAGCCTTCGAGGGTCCACTCACCACCTGGGATGATTACAAGAGAATTAAAGGTTCCGGCGGCTTCTACGAGATGTCGAGCGAATGTGGCCAAGCTGCCCAAGCTGAAGCTCATGTTGGCCAACGAGAGGTCCCACTCCGTGACGTTGTAGGCAGTTTCACCCAAGCGCTTGAACTCGTCGAGCTCGTCTCCATGGGCATCCCATGCCTCAGTTAGCCAAGCTCGCTGTCTCGAGCTCCAAGACTCTCGGCACACCTTTGGTCCTGCCTTCGACAACGATGTGCTCCAGAGGTTGGATCGCATGCGCTCAAGACCTTCGGATTGGTCAGGAAGATCCCGGCCAGCAGGGTACATCCTACACCGTCAGGGATCTCGCCTGGCATCGTAGGCAGCTTTGCCAGCGGCTTCCTGAGAGACTCCTCCAAGGAGCAGGTTCTTCCCTGTACAGTACGTCCCAAGGTCTCATCGGAACAGCGTCACAGCAATCTGCCATACCAACTTGTCTTTCTCATTGCTGGGCCTCGATCCGTAGTAGTGGATGCCTTCTGTCCTCGCAGACACAACACAGGTTTGTTCAAACATGTTCAAACTTGGGGTTACAGAACCATCGCGCCAAACGCGCAAGCAGGTCCCTATCCTTCAGGCGACGGGCGTTCGTAATCACCGGCTTGCCTTTCAAGCATGGTGCCGATAACACTTGGAACAATAGGGGAGGCTTGTGCGGGCCTTGGACGACCTGTTCGCTCTTGCCGGTGATCGGGTTCACCCGGTAGGCGTACCGCGGACTGCCCAGGAAAACCGATTCAGCAAAGGCTTCTACGACGATGGCTCTCGCAGTTTGCTCAGCCGGCTACAGCAAACCCGGCAGCGCCTGTAAAACCAAGCATTGCATTCTCGCATCGCAGCACCCACCTGATGCAAAGGGATTCCACCAGTTGAACGGCATCAACCGGCAGGCAACGTACTCTCGATGGAAGGTTAAATCCTAAATCCCTACAGCCCTAAGCCCCTAAATCCTGAACTAGCTTGGCGCAGGGCATCAGCCTTGATGCTGAGACCAGTGAGGGTGATGGCAGCTTGCAGGGCTTGGCCCACGCATACGGCAGGATGAAACTTCTTCGCGAGCTCCTGTTGGGCTGTAGGGCCTTTGCAGTTTTCAGGGTTTCGGTTGGGATCTGGAGGTTTAGGCTTGGGCACCAGGATCAATCTGAAATGCCATGAAGTGCTGTAAACATCCGGCTTACAGGGTATATAGTCTGCTCCAAATATCTCCAAACAATCTCAAGGTTGCCAATTATATTATATTATATTATATTATGTTATATTCTATTCTATTCAATTATGCTATATTATAGTCTATCATATTACTAGCTGTCCACAGACCTGCCTCTTGCACCGTGGGAAGGTGCAGCTCGTTGAAGCCCAGGTCACGCTCCGGAGCAGCCTTCTCCTCGCCGAGACGAGGAGGCAGACGGAATATAGTAGAACGCAAGATTGGCCTAGTGTAGTATAGTAAATGTCATACGATATAACATAAGAACATATACAATTATGTAATGACATAATATAGTAAAAAATAATGTAATATAACATGATTCGATAAAACAAAAAATACGATAGTGTATTCGAGTATAATGTGACATAATATGATACCATACAATATATTGTAATACAGTATAATATGATATAACATACTAACGTAGACTAACGCATAATTTCATGCAAGATGACATAAGGCAGTGCGTCATATTCTACTAGAATGTGATATAGTGAAACACAAAATAATGCAATAAGATATAAAAACATATTGCATAATATGCCATACGATAACATGGTATGATAGAATATAGTACGATAGAGTACAATGTAACATAGTATACTGCATAATGAAATATAATGAAATATGGCATAGTATAGAATAATATGATATGCACCCTCGGGCCGAAAGTTTCGACATGCAGCTTATCCTGAGAAGAACATGAACATGTGCCGCGGAGAAACGGAGAGAAATTCCGGTATAAAAATATACTACTATATAATTTCCGGCGGGGAGCTGCGCGAGGTTGTGCTAGGTGTCTACGGGGGAAAGGGGTGGGCATGTGGTGCTGTGTCTTAACTTCATGTTCTCGGGCGAATTTTCGTCCTGCAGTAGTAGTGTTATATATATATATGTGTATGTATATATATATATACAACTCAACATAAAAATATATATAGTATAATATAGTATAATTAAGATAGTATAATATGGTATAATGTATTCGAATATAGCAGAAGATAATGCAACATAGTGTTACATACCATACAGTACAATATATCAGAAGAAAATAAAGGAAAATGCAATATAAAAACTATGGTATAGTAAAACATATCATAATGTAACATGAGATGCAGCACAGGATAACGTAACATGAGACAATATAACAAAACATGAACAACATGATATGCAATAACAAAAATACAGCATAACATAGTATAAGAAAACCTGATTGGAAAAACAAGATACGATATAAATAAATACAACATACTAGAATCTTATCATCTGAGATAGTAAGACATAAAAAGGATTTATCATAGTATGACATAACATGATATGATGTAATATAATATATACTAGCATACCATAACACGATATAAAATAGTCTAACGAGATGTAACATAACATCACATGAAATAACATAACATGACAAAACATGACATGACATTCAAAATGCCGCATAAAATAACATGACATAGTATACTAGAATATTGTATAACAACATATACTATAATATAAATTGGCTTAACATGATGTAACATGAAATAATGTAATATGATAAAATATAAAAGATTACCATGAAATATCATACCATTTTACACCTTTCAATATGGAAGTTTAAACTCTGCACACAAATTGCGCAACAACCTTCAAGATAAGACATGACGTTGGAAGCGTATCTTTTGCAACGACATCACATCTGCCCTGACGGTTTGAACCACCTCTTCATCAAAGCCTGAACTCAGGGCCCACACTTCTGTACATCATACACCCCAAATCCTCTAGACCCTGACCATCCCATACCCTGCATCCTAAATCCCATCAACCCTAAACCCCAGACCCTCAACCCTCAACCGGCCTCCCTTTGAGGGAGAGAGACGAACTCCGCAGAGGACAGGCCGACCAGTTCCGACGCGGAGGGGTCAACCTTCGCTCCCTGAGCTCTGAAGACCCCAACCATGTATGTGTATATCACGAACGCATTGTAGACGAGGGGAGGAACATGACACTCCTACGACAGTGGTCGCGGAAGAAGAAGTACATAATATGCTCTATATATATATGCATATGTGTATACATGTGTGTATATTTATATGTATCAATTTATTCGATCTTCACCGCTCGATGCAAAACAGCCAACGCTCGCACACAGACTTTTTGCGCAGCGCAACGTGGGAGTCGGCCACAAATCAACACTGATCTTCATCATTCCGAGCGGATGCTACGAGCACCGGAGGGCGCACCAGATAGCTGGCGATCGCTCCACATTCATCCGAACGAAAATGTCAGACGAGATATTCCCCGCGAGCAGAAACAAGAGCTGTGCGAGCAACCAAAAGTCTTCGATCGGATCCGGAGTGGAGTCCGCAGCAACCTCGATCGGCTCTTCGAAAGCAGCATCGTGCCACAAGGCAGCGAAAGCCTTCGGCTTAAGCCGCGGATCACTCTGAGGAGCGGGAGCGGGATCTTTTCGTAGAGTTTTCGAAGTGGAAACTGGCCGAGGATCAGCGGCTGGTTTCGCTTTCGGCTTTGGCCGAGGGGCACCATCAGACTGGTAGACAGATCTACCCCCCAAAAGCTTTTAGCCACATGATGCCATATGAATGCGCGTAGGAGCTTTCGGCACGGCAGGATCCGCCGGCCACAGCATCACGATTCCAGCCGACCCAAGGCACTCCTCGACAGAAGTGGCACAGCTACATGTGAGGATCGCAGGCGGTGCACAGGGAGTCGACTGACCCTAAGCCCAGTTTTCAGACGGCGCGCGATCGGCCGCAAGGCATAAACCCCGAGCGCGCAGACGTTCGCAGAAGCAACCGGTGTAAAGACCACAGTCTACACACGGCCGACAGAGATCGTCGTAGGCACCATAAGCCAGAGCTTGAAGACCCACATCAGGAGCTTCCATTATCAGATCCCCCGAAAGATCAATAAGGTAGAGTGGGCGGGATCGAAAATCCGGGCCGGTCGGCTGATCACCAAAATGACCACGGACAACATGATCACGGCTGTTCTTACGATCTGTAAACGGAGAGAGAGGGAGAGAGAAAGAAAGAGAGAGAGCGAAAGAAAGAAAGAAAGAAAGAGAGAGAGAGAGAGAGAGAGAGAGAGAGAGATAGAGAGAGAGACAGGGACACAGAGAGAGAGAGAGAGCGAGGGAGAGAGCGGGGTGGGGCGGGGCGGGACAAAAAGCAAGGGACAGCAAGGTTTATACTTGCATAACTTTGATGCTCAAAGCTCAATGCCTTCGGCACTATTTCGACTGTGTCTTCGCCTTCAAAACATGTGCTGAAACACGACAAAGACCAGCAACTGAGAGCTCTTTGTACAGCATGTGGTTGCTGCATGCTCAGTATACCAACGAAAGGACATGCATGTGAAGTAGAAGTGTTGCAGCTAACGTCCTGAAAAGGACACCCCAATAATAGACTTGCCAACGCTCCTGGGGAACCCCTGTGCATACTGTATACTCTGACCAAACCCTTAATATGAACACTCATAATGTACGCACATATGCACATATGTACGCATGTATGCATGCGTTATGTAACATGTACTGCAGTGTACTGTGATGTAATGTACATGTGATTGTACATGTAATGTACATGTAACCTACATGTAATGCAATGCAATGTATGTGCGTACGTAAGAATGTATGTATGTGCGGACGGACGATTCAGGGATGCATGGATGATGCATAGAGGCATCCATGAGTGGATGGATGAATGAATGGAGATGCAAGCATGCAGCCTGCAGCAAGCATGCTTGACAGTATGTGTGCGCATCAGGGTGCAGCCCGGTCGACTAAAAATGCAGCTTGACAGAAGAGTCTGCCTCTAAATTTCGGAACTCTAGACACAGTGCAGAGCAACCACCATCCAGATGTGCATTCGCTCTGAGCTTCCGGCCGCTCGGTGGAACCTCGGAAACGGGCAAGGAGTTTGGGTGGATGGAATGGTGAAACACCAACGACACACTTCCTGCAGTGGTCGCCATCCTCCACGTCCAAAAGCCCAGTCCCATGCTAGATGGGTAGGTCAAGGGCGGCTGTTTGGCCGGTCTGCCAACATGGACATGTATTATACAAGTCCAGCACGCTGAAATGCAACAAGCTAAAACTTAGCTGACACGCATGTCATGTCATAGACAGCACACAGAGTTGAGAGCAGCAGTAGCAGTGGCCGCAGGCCTCATGCCAGCCTGCGCTGAGCCTGCTGCGGGATGCCGGCGGACGCGACGAAAAGCAGTGCTAAAGCTGCACCGACTGCGCAGAAGCCTCAAAGTGCTGGAGACATAACCCCGCAAGCTCTGGTTCTCTGTATGTACATTACCATCAGGTTTGCCAATGCTAAGCGGCGAAGCTCAATGTAAGCTTGGCACGGTATCGTCCCGGCCATCTTTCGGCCGTCAAGCCCTCAACGCCCAGGCCTGGTCAGATCCGCACAAAGAGAGGTGTTGCCCTGTTTCACAGCCGAAGCAGAAAGGCGTTGCTACCGTCAGCCGGCAACATGATTGTTGAGCTGACTTACCCGCAGTTCCGAGGTTCACAGAGAAGGAATCTGCACCCTGCCTCGCACCAGGATCGGAGCAGACTGCAGACAGGGCGATGCAGTGATGTCGCAGCACAAACACGAGAACACTTGCAATAGGCAAGTTTCAGCGCAACATGCTGATCTGAACCAGTTGCCACGGGCATCAACAAGTGCAAAAATAACCAGGCAGTCGTCGGATTCTAAAGGAGCTCGCATCCAGTGAAAAAGATTTCGAGACAAGCAAGAGACGCAGACTCGCTGACTGACTTCTAGCAACGATGATTTCTCAGAGGAGCAAGCATTCGCAACGCTTCACAACATACCCTCCTCTCAAGCCTACAGTTCCTCATCGCCTCGTCGACGATCCCTCTTCTGCTCCCTTCGTCACGGACCTCGGCCGTATCCGGAAAATCGCCTCAGGGCGGAGAAGCACCGGGATACATGCTGAGTCATTGGTCTCTGTGAGCAGTATCCCTGTTGCGACTCGCAGCGGTGCTGCTGTTACTGTCTGTTACTACTGCCACTGCCGCTGCCACCGCCACCCACTGCTGCTGCTGCTACTGCTGTTGCTGCTGCTGCTGCTGCTGCTGCTGCTGCTGATGCTATGACGACGAGACGACCAGATTGAGAATAACAAATTGCCCATAGTAGTCATGGGAATTATAGAACTTTTGTGGTATCTGTAGTAACGATACAATACAAGTAGCAATAGTTCGACAACGACCGCGACTGCGACGATGGCAACGATCACGAGACTACCGCTAGGTTGGCGGCTGTTCATCTTCATCATTGTCGGGCAGATACGGCTACCGCAGGTCGTTATCCAGGCACAGCACTGTCGTGGACCCGAAGTACTGGAGACCCCAAAGACCGTTGGGCGAGGTTGGGTGCGCTAGCCACAACTCCTGTCGAATGCTCCTGACTTACCTTCTGAATCCACAACGCTCGCCCCAGAAGGGCCGTCCAGTGAGGCTCCAGCTGGCAGTGGTAGGGTGTTCCATGCGGGACTTCCACCCTACAGGTCACCCCGAGCCAAAACCGGCGCCACAGGTTCTTTGATGGGAGTCTATCATCTGCATTAATCTCCAGAGTACTGCTGAAACTCACATCGTGCAAAACGCCAGACATGCTCAAGATCTAGGCTGCATCTTGTTGTCAAGCGTTGTACTTCGCATGCAAAGCAAGATATGGAAAAAGGCTTTGCATGGGCATCGCTGCATGAAATCAGACAGACGGACATACCATACTTGTGCAGATTCTCAACCGGCAGATGGACAGACAGAGAGGCGGAGAAGCAGATAGAAAGCTGTGAACAGCCGATTCATCAATCATGCTCGCTGCTCGGAAATGTCAACCATGTCACCAGACTGAAGTCTGAGCAGACACGACCGTGCAGTCACAGCTGATCCAGTTGCAAAAGCGAAACACTTCGCGAAACCAAGTTCCAGATTCCTGCGTCTTTGGGGGATAGCGACCGGGACGACTCAACTAAACTTAACACATAGCCAAGCTTGGTGCTTGCGCCTTCTCTGCCGGCAGCGTGTACGGTACCTGCAGGGACAACACATATACAACTCACATAATGACGCTTTTCGTCTATCCCTTTTCAGCCCTGGCTCGTTTGGAAACTCTTCTGGTATTGCTGATTCGCTGACGGCCTCAAGAGAAGCCTCAGCATGCTTACGTCACTGCCAATGCAGAGGTTGCTGAGGCCTGCACGGACCAAACCAGTCTCTCCTGCGTGACTCAATGAATCACAGTGTCACGGATCAAAGACTTGGACCATGTCGTGCTCTTTCCATCTCTTGGATACCGAAGCAGCACCCTGCAGCCCTACTTGGCCCCGGCTCTGCGGCCTGCTGTGCAGGTGCAGTCTGCTTGCTGGGCTCCGTGGAGACATTCAGGACACCGCCTGCAATGTTGACGAGTACCCCGGCAGAACTTCATGATGCACGTCTGCGAACCAGAAGTCTCCCGCCTGTCCCTGAATCTTAGACTCATGCCTGATTAAAGTTAGGGACCCCTTCGCCTTTTT